GTTCAGATGCAGCACTTGCTGTCTAGTGCAGCAGTTTTATAGCCCTTCACTTCCCTAAAGCATACAGGGGAGAAATACCACTTCTACTTTTTATATTTACTTCCCACAGAAATGCTGAACTGTTTCTAGGGATGTTTTCCATCCTTTCCACTGCCCTCTGTTTAGCAGCCGTAGGTCTGCTTTCCTACCTTTCTCAGCTAAGGTTTTGGCTGCATTTTAAAAATGGTCCTTGGCATGCTTTCTTCTGGAATGCAGGTCTTTTTGGATTTTTTAGGAAGTGGTTCTGCAATTGAAAGATATAGTTTGGAAGATCCCCTGGGAGGTGGGCCATCCTACAGCTGATGAAACTAGAGCACTGAAAGGGCAAGTGACAGAACAGCATCAGTGAACAAAAGATCAGCCCTCCAGATCATGCCTGAGTCAATAAATGTGTGTATTTCTCAATACCAACTGAAATACATGTGTAAAGGCCTCTGGGTTTTCTTCCTCTGCAGTGTTCAACTTCGTGTGGGAATGGCATTCAGACGCGGCAGGATTTCTGCCTCAACCGGCTAACCCGTAAGCACGTGAACCCCATCTTCTGCAGGCACTTCCCCAAGGCCATTGTGGTCCGTGGCTGCTCTGCAGGGCCCTGTCCTGAGCAGGCAGCAGGGCCCGGGTCCCACGGAGCAGGACTGTGGGCAGTGACACCAGCCACGCCGACGACAGCCGCAGCTGCCAAAGAGGCAAGATACAAGCACCTGGACCTTCCTTCGTCTGCTGTGCCTCAGGAGCAGACAGAGACCGGTGGAGGTGAGGAGGAGGCTGCCAAAAGGTAGAGGTGGGCTCTTACTGCATGTAGCTGGGTTGTGGTGACCCTGCTGCCATACAGAGACAGGAGCATGGGAAGGGAATACTCCTGGTTAGGAGAAACAACACACTGTTCCTGCTAGCACGCCGTGTGCTGTCCCTGTTACCTGAGCAATGACTCCCTTCCCTGGGCTTCCCAAAGCTCTTCTGACTCGGAACTCCTTAGGGCAGCAGCTGACTCTTCCCATGCTCCACCCAGAAGGAGGGCACACTGTTGGCACTTGCCTGTTCATTGTGCCACGAAGGGAATGGGAGCTGGTTTTTGGTTATTCAGTCCCTTCTGGATGTGTTTCTCATCTGTCTGTGCTGTACAGGTGTCTGTGGAAAGCTCTTTCTTAATGCCACGGGGGTCATCAACATGACGGGTGTAAGGAGCAGCGACTGCACCGTGGCCATCGGGCGTCCTCTCGAGGAGGAGATAACAGTCAGTGTCCTGGAGAGCTCCCTCAACTGCAGCGCAGGTACTGCCCAGGGTGTGCTGAGGACCAGCCTGGCCCTTTGGGAAATCTGCAGCTCATATGCCCACGTGCTTGTGGTGCCCTGAATGGTTCTTGCTACCTTGGAGCATGTGTAATCTCTGAAACCACGTTACAAGTTTTTCTGTCCCACCAAGTCTTCACCAGATGGGACTAAATGAAGATGATGCCTTTCCTGCCCCTACATGATGGTTTGTTACTTCTTTTGTTGATGGGTATGAGATGAAAGGAGTTTTGTGGGGTTGAAGAGGCTGCTTGCTTTGGCCTGCAGTAAACTTTCTGTAACAGACCCTTTTGCTGGAATCAGTACGGTTAGATTAGTTAACTGGACTGTTTTCGTGACAGATTTTGATGAGATAGGGATAAGATGCAGAAATTACTTGATTCCAGACCTAAATAAAGTAGGTTGTGACCTTTTATTTGATGTACAAGTGTTTCTAGTCCCTGTGCTCGTCCATTCCAGGTGAGGTAGTGCTGTTTTCTGGGCGAATGATGTGGCGGACAGGCTGCAGGAAGCTCCCTTTGTCACTGATAAATTCCAGAACAAATACACTGATTGTGAAACAGCGTGTTTTGCTGCCAGGAAATGGGGTCATTCTTCAGTACAACAGCAGAACTGCAACTAAAAAATATTACCAAGGTACCTTACTGAAAGTTTTGATTAAGACACCCGTGACAAGGCCCGCAGAGTTCCACAGGTCACGGTTGACTATGGACATCTATGGAAGCCTTGCTTCATTTTTAGCAGCTAATAAGCCCCTTCTTGAAGAGTATTGGCATTAATGTTACTTGTGGACTACCCCCCTGTTTTAAAGGCAAGCCTCTTGCAGGTGTTTGCTGATGCTTGGAGGTTCCCAGATGAAAATCCTTAGAGAAACTTTTCTGCCTGTGTTTAAATTAAATGATTTCTTTCTTGGAGATGCTGGACACTTCTCTCAATCATTTTATTTTCTGCTCCCTTTCCCCCTCTCAGACTGTGACAAGCAGCTGTTTGGTCCCCAAGGTGAAATAGTGAATCCTGTGCGATTGCCTGATCAAAGGCAAGAAGTCGTGTGTCGGACCTTCATCAATGTGGCTCCTCAGCATCGCATAGCTATCCGTGCCCTATATATTGATGTGAGCAATGACAGCAACCACACACTTTTTAATTACATCCTGGTGAGTCTGAAACTTAAAGGGGGTGATTTGGATGGGAATGGACCCGTTTTCTCATTAGAGAGTTCTACCCAGATGAAGAGTTCAGTTACAAATCCTGGAGGGTCAGACTCTGATCTCTGCTATGTAAATGTAGATGTGAATGAGAACTACTGCTGTATACCGTATTTCTTCTAACTTTTGTAGAGGGCAGCTTTTCCCCCTGGGTGACCAATTTGCAAGTCCCCAGTATTTTGTGGGTACTTCACTTGTAGGCTGCTACGTTACAACGGTTCGATCTTTCTTTATGCAGGTCCGTGATGTAAGCACCATGAAAACAATGGTGTTCCATGGGAAACAACAATTCTTCTGGCAATCAACGGGAAGCCAAGCTGAAATTGAATTTCATGAAAATGTTAAGGATCACCAAACCAGTTTCTGGGCTGAATATCATGCTATTGAGCCCAAATAAAAGGGGCCAGGGCTGCTGCACTGAGAAAGGCCGTGGTCCAGTTAGTCACTGCTGCCTCACAAGAGTCATTTAATCTTTTTGCAACTGCTTCCCCATCTATTGAGTAAGAACAATAATATCTACTGACTCCTTTGGGATCTCAATTAAATTTGTAAAGCTTATGCAAAAGACATGTAACTACCAAATATTTAGCAAATAGTCCTCATACAGATTTTCTGTTTGTGTGATCGGTATTAATGCAGTTTACATGTCTGCAGTTAGTGACTTGGACACTGAAGTCACAGGGTCCCACTTCTGTAATATGCTGTGACCTTTTAGGATAGTTTAATTTCTTGGTGGCTCAGTGTCCCATTACAAACCTTTGTATACCACAAGTAGCTATGGTTATGGTTTAGCCATTAAGTTCACTCTCCTGCAGTGTAACCACCCCTTAAAACCGAGGCTCATTGAAATGCTGGAATGTTATAAAGAAGGCAGAGATGTGTAAGAGGATGAATTGCTAGCACAAAAAGACTAGACTCATGTGTGAGGGCAAGACAGTTTCTTTTCCCAGGAGGGTAGTGCAACATTAGGAGAAGTCACTAGAAAGCTTGAATGTTTTGAGGAGTTGGCTAGACTGAGGCACTGCTGACCTGGTCAAGCCCTGGTGACAGTTTGCTTTATCTGGGAGGACTAAATGACATCCAGAGGTCCCTCCCCAGCCCCCCCTTCTGTATTTCCACTATTATATATCTGACAGTGATACCAGTACTTCTCTTCTATGGGAAAATAAAATAATTCTGTCTCTTAATGATGGGTTTGGTGCCAAAACATATTTACTCAGATAAGAACAGTAGCTGTGCTATTAATCTGCTTGTATCTTCATCTCACAGAAACTGTGCAATGAGAGATTAAGACTGCATGACATTAGTTGTAGCAGGAAGAGATCTTTTAGAGCAGTTACAAATAATCACTCAAGTTTGATTTAAAAGCATTTTTAGATTGTTTTTATTTAATATCTTGAGCATTTAATATCTTGAACATTGGATCATACTTTGGTCCAAATCTGTCATCCTCCTCAAATATACTGCTTAGGGGGGGCCTTTTCCACACCTGGAGCCTGGCTGGACACATCTGCCCTCGCTCTTCACGCTGGATGCGATAAATTGTTCTGCCTGGGCAGTTTTAACCCTGCTTCTGCTTTCTTTCAGTTGAATTCTCTGACATCTTTTAACAACAGCAAAATCTTATTTTATTCTGTCTTCTTAATAGTTGTTTTGTTGCTGGTTAAACCTGGAGTTTTTTACTTGCCAGCCTCCAAATTTATGTTCCTTTTCTGGAAGAGCTAGAAAGTAGATTCTTAAAGCAAGATCCTTGAGGAGCTGGATATATCAGCTATCCCACTGCAGTGCGTGGGTGATGCAGGCACTGGGCCTTCATTTCCTGTCTAACAGGAGATGTTAATGAAAAGACATCCTTTTCTTAATCCTTTTTTTGTAACTTTTTAGCAGATGGGATCTGTCTTCCCACTCTGCTCTGGATCCCAAGTCTCACTGCTATTTCTTGTTCCAGATCAACTACGCAGAGTCCCTGGTCCGCAGGGATGGGCTCTGGTTGCTGACTGTATGCTCCACATTAATTTGCAAAAAATTTGGCTGTTGTCTTTACAATTTAAAAGTTAAGGCTGTTTCCCTGTACCATTTGTTTGGATACCAACAGGTTGCCAGCTGGGACACCTCTGCCTTGCAAAGTCCTACTTCTACTCCCGTTTCCTAGGGAGAAAACCTGATTCTGTTCAGATTAAGGGGAGCGCTGCCCTCTTATCTCGAGGGCACGGTTTTGTAGCGCTCTTAAACGCACGTTCATGCAAAAATTCATGTTTCCCTTTCCTCTGAGCACACGCTGGCCACCTGGATAATGGTATCTAGTTGTCAGCCGGGAGAAGCGGGCCCCGGACCCTGGCGTGGAGCACGTTTCTGCGTGGCTGCTTATGAATATGTACAGGACGGGCTCTGCCCACCAGCCTTTTAATGAGAGTGACATCAAAGCCCTGCCTGCTGGAGGAGGGGACCCACAATGCAATACGCAGGCAGACGTGGAGGCAGCTCCCACGGCCGCTGGCATCGCTGCTGCAGGCAGAGACCCTCCATTGTCAGCCCTGGGGGGGCTGCCGGGGGCCAGGCCCTGCATGGGGGTGCAGGGAGAGGCCCAGCAGCGCCAGGGTTGGGTTTAGGGGCTGTCCGCTGGGTTGGCTGGAGGAGCGGGGGGGGCACAGGGGGAGCGTCACCTGGGCTGGGGGGGAATCCTGCGCTGCTGGGGTTCAGGTGGGGAGCGGGGTGCTGCCCCCTGAGCCCTCCGGGAGCAGGGGTGCCATGAGCTCTCAGGATGAGCAGTTGCAAGCAGCAGCCCCTGAGCCAGCGGCTTCCTCCGCCGATGATGGCATGACCTGGTGGTACAGGTGGCTCTGCAGGATTGCCGGGGTCCTCGGGGGTGTGTGTAAGTATCCCCCTTCCCTTGCAGCCAGGGGGTTGCCTCCCCGGCGTCGCTCGTGCATGCAAAAACGCGTGTCAGGGGTCCTGCCCTGCCTCTTGTTAGGGTCATGTTTGTGTGTGGGGAGGGGTGGGGGGCACGCCACAAAACAGTCACTTGGGGTGTTAGGGGTTTGTGTCTCCTCTAGACAACAGTTTGCTGCGTTCCGGGCAGAAAGAGTCGTGGACATGCCTGAAGTGGGGGTGGTTTTAGCCGGCACACGAGGGATGCGCTTCGTGCTCACCGAACCTGCTGAACTTTGGCACCTGGGAGACGGGACGTCACGGGGGGATCTGCAAATCCTCGAGTTTCTTCTTGGATACGGCACTCGCTGGAAGTGGCGGGAGCAGCAGCCGAGCCCCTGGTCCTGCGGGAGGGCTGTGGGCAGATAAACCAGACGGTGATTTTACTGCGAGCACCAAGCTCAGGGTGCTCAGCAGGGTCAGGTTCAAGGCTGGAAGAGAGGCCGTGGGATTTGGTTCATCCTCTTTGATTACTGGGTGTTTGTATGTTCCTGCAACTTATTTTCTTTGCCTGTCCTCAATGTTGGAGCATGTTTCCTGTTACTCCTGTTGTTGATTGCAGAGGGCCTGACTATTTTTTTTTTTTGAAGGCGAATAATGGACTTGGTTTGTGTTGTGTGTTTTTAAGGGGTTTAGTCTCGGACGCAGAGAAGAAGGGAGCCGACGTACGGCAAAGTGAGTTGGCTGCGCTCTGAATTACCTGCTGTTGAAAAAAATTTTCCCAGGGAAAGAGTCTTTGCAACTTTGCCAGAAATCAGCCTGTCCTGTAGTGCTGTTTTGCTACATTCTGTGGAGAGATTAATAGCTCTTAAAAACAGGAGGGACTGTTATGACCGCTTAGTCTGATCTCCTGCAGAGCACAGGATGGAGAATTTCTTCTGCTTCAGGTCCACGGCTTCTAAAAAAACAAGAGTATTTCTCAGCCAGTGCAGTCAGCCCTGATTTATTCCCTCGGCTATAGCGTTCAGACTGATCCCTCTCTACCCCTGCCCCCTTCCCATGCCTGCCTCTTGCCTCAGGACTTGACTGCACGAGCCCACGGCGGTAGACTGTGGTATTGTTGGGCAGGCTCATTACAGCCCTTTTTGGCTAGGCTGGTAAAACATATGCTGCTCTCACTGTTTCATGTCTTAGGTGCTGAAATTCTGGAGGTGTGAAAAGATTTGGTAGGACTGCTCTTATGGGGCAAAACATACTGGCTTTGCCATGCTCTGCCTGCGGCCCCCGCGCTTCTGGTCCCGGCAGACGGCCAAGAGACCAGCGGGGACGTGTCTTCAGTGCAGGTCCCAGGTCGGGGTTTAGTGTAGCCGCGTCTTTCCCACGGGCTGGGGCTTTAGCTGGAGCCTTGGTGCTTTTTTTATGTGGCTTTGGCCCGTGCAGAGCTCAGGGGGACGCAGATGGAGGGTGACGAGCTGGAGAGGATGGCTGTTGGGTCGCAGTGGTGGCATTGCCCACCTCGTGCTAGAGCAGCTCATGAGTGGCTTAAAAGTGCGAGTCTTTGAAGCCAGATTTCTTCTCTGTCTTCACATTTCAAGACAGCTGAATTGTACTTGGATTATTTTCCCAACCTTTTGTTCACAGCTCTGAGAGCTCATGACTTGTTTTTAAAGAAAGCTGAGAGTTTTATGTATTTGGGTGAGGCTGAGAAGAAGCTTTTGGAAGAAGAGCCAGGCTCTTAACAAGGGTACTGATGATTTGAGAAGTCAGACAGCTTGCTCTGTAGCCCTGACAATCTCCCTCCATGAGGTCTGTCAGACAGAGAATGAGGCAGCATCTCTTATGAGCAGGGAAATGGGGGACTGTGGAAAGAGGCAATCCTCCAATGCCCTGTGCTAGCAATGGCCCTCTTCAAAATGCTCCTTGTTCAGCATCACCTTGTTGAAGGTGGACAGTTTGGAAAAGGGGTGACTAAGAACACGGCAAGGCTGGAGTTTGCTGCTATTTTTCAGAGCTTGCTATGAAAGAGCAGAAATCATTTATAAGGATTTTGAGCCACTGGGCTGTGGTCCTGCTACAGGGCTAGATCATTTCTTACAGAAGGAAAAACTCCCTGTAGAAAGGATGAGAAACTTTGTTAGTGGATGTAAGACTGGCAGACAACATCTACCATGTGCAAATACCTGCAGAACACAACTTGCTGAAGCCAGAAAAGTCCAGGGGCCGGAGTAGGAACAAGACAAACAAGGTTTGGGATCTGTTTCTGGCTCTTGCGCAGGCTGGCTTGGTGACCTTGGCCAAGTCCCTTCTCTCCCTTGTGTTCCTCCTTGTAAAAGGATGAGGAGAGTCTGTGGCTTTTGTAAAATGCTTTAGGAGCAAAAATAGGCTTGCGTTGAGGACAGTGACCAGCTGCTTGAAATGAATAGAGCCTTTGTAGGGGGTGGAGTTCTTCCCCCCCTCCATTTTAGCTCCCAGTTATTTGTGCTTCCTCAGGGATTCAGGATGGGACAGCAGTTAAACAAATGGCAGAACTGTCTGTCTTCCACAGCTTACATGCCATTGAACGTTAGCTGCATTTTAAACCTACTGCTAGTCCTCTCTTTTGTAAAAAGAAGTCTCTGGCTTGGCAGCTCCCTCCCCTTTTGGCTACTGAGGCAGGAGCCGATCCCATCTCGGTGGGACAAGGATGTACTGGGCTGCTGTAGGACACCCTCCTCTGCAAAGGGGACTCAAGGTCACCAAGTCGTTATCTCAGTGGCAGTTGGCAACCGCCACCGAGTGCAGTGTTCCTGTGATTATAAACCTTTGACTCCTTTCCTGCTGGCTGGTGCTTGTGCTGACGTAGGGGCTTGCTCAGCGCAGGCTTGTTGGGTCATTAGTCCACTGGCAACCAGGGTGGCTGCTTAGCTGAGACTATTGCGGGGCCACTTGGTGCTCAAGGGTTGTTTTGAGGTGTTTGAGGACAAAACCAAGCCAGAACCCTGACAAAATAACCCTTGGCTGGCTAGATTAAAAGAAGAGGAAGGCCAAAAATCTGCTTGAAAAAAATAACATTCTGCCTCCCCAGGTTTGTTTTGTGGTCAGGGTCAGTTTTGTAGCCCTGTGAACCAGCTGGACTGCTCTGTTCTGCCGTGGTGTTTAAGAAGGCAGGGTCCTGCCCCAGCCCCGGCTATGTTTTGGGAATAGTGGAGATGCAGCTGATTTTTGCTGCTCTGCGAATTCTGAAGTACCTGAAAGTTACTTAACATTATTTCCAGAAGTGTGCTTTCCTGCGTCAGGGCAAGTGTCACAAGCCTGCGGTGCTTCCCCCTGGAGCTCCTCTTCCATCAGCATCCAAGAGTCTGTTGGTCACAGAAGAATTAGAAATCCCTGTGTTGTGCCCTGCTCTCTGAGCTGCTCCCAACAATCCTGCTGGCCATTGCTTTTCCAGCTCTCCAGCTGTTTGCGTGTGTGACCACGGGCAGATCATCCCACACCAGTGCCTCAGTTTCCCCTGCAGCGTGGGGACACTGACACTGGTCCCTTTGCGATGGGAGGATGAGAAGTGCCCTTGGAGTCATGGATATTATATGTCCTCTGGCATTTCTCCTATCCTGGCTGATATTGTTCGCACAGGGTTCTCCAAAAGATTTTGGGCCCTGTGGAGTAGTCCTAGGAAGCCTTTAAAAATAACCTTGTTTGGTTGTTTCCTAAAACCAGGAGGTCACTTGCTGGTTGGGATGAGCTTAGATCAGTCCTGTCATAGGCCTGCAGCTTTGTTTCCCAGTCTGGTAAATAAGGATAACTGTTTTTAAGGGAGTGTCAAGGATTCAGCAATGACTGTTTAAAAGAAACCTTGCAAACATGTGCCAGGCTTTTGAAGGTCAGGACTGCTCACAGCAGCTCTGCTCAGGGATCCCCTTAGGAAAACATGAGCAGATATCTGAAATACCTGAACCCAGGCTGGTTTCATTCTCAGAGATGGGCTCTGCTGCTCTTCATTGTGCGGATGGATAATCATCCCCAAGACGGCCTTTAAGGACTATATGATTTTAGTCGGAGTTTTGCAGGATGGTGTTGTTTACTGTGGACTCCGCCGTGTCTCGCTGCCCTCCCTGCCTGGGCTCAGGTTCCCAGGTGAGCAGCGGCAGCCTGTTGGTATCTCGGGAGGAAAAGGGCCGTATCGAGTGCCAGGAACGCTCTGCAAATTTAATGAGGCAGGAAAGAAGTACATGCAGCCTCAGCTTGGACACTGCTGCCTGGTTCCTCTCCTTGCGTTACAGCATCAGGAGCACTGGGGCTATTTTGGGCTCTACTTTTATCTAGCATCCGCTTCCATTTGTATTAGCGGACACCCAAACCTGGCTCTTTTCTGCCCATCTCTAGTGCAGACCCAGCACTGTGTGGGTGAGACCGGGTTCACCTCTGCTTTATTTATCGTTTGTCTGTGTGCCTTGGTGCTGCAAGTCATGTTTTTTGCTCAGCTTTCCCTGTGCCACTCAGAGACGGGTGCCTGCTGGGACCTCGTTGTTTATCCCAGGACAAAGCAGTAATTCCTTAGAAAATAAAACCCAGGGCGCCACGTGTGTGACTCCACGTAAAAGCAAATGCTCTGTTGTTCTACGCAAGTGAAATAGTTGTGAGAGTATCATGCTGAGACACCAAGCATTTGGAGCAAAAGGATACCCGGCTGGAGGAGCTGGGAATAAACCCTCTCCCCTGCATCCTGGGCTCCTGTTTGGGCCATCAGACCTTCCCACCCACCCTCCTGTGCTGGTCTGTACAGGCTGCTCTGCAGTGCCTAGAGGTCTCAGCCAAGGCAAGGGCTCTTCTGGGCAGCCCCTGCTCTGCAAAACAGCCCAAAATACAGGAGAGCAAAATCATGTTGGTGTGGCTGCAAGGTCCCGTTGGAGGGCAGAGCTGGCAGGAGCAGCCAGCCCTCTCTGCCCCCGGGCGCGCACTGGGTCACCAAAAGCCTCTTTGCTTTCCAGCTTGTGCCTTCTCTGGGCTCTGGAACTGTGTCACCATCAACCCCCTGAACATCGCGGCCGGTGTGTGGATGATGTGAGCAGAGTTTCTTTTCTTGATTTTTCCTGCTGGGAGGGAGTTTCAGTTAATTAGATGCCACTAAGCAAGGGGCAGAGCTGCCCCACTTGGGGAGTGGGTGTGAGGGAAACATCTGTCAGGCACTGCAGGCTCTGCAAATTGCCAGCTCTTGCTCTACTGGGTGGGTTGAGACACTGGGTTTATTCTATTTATATTCTTCCTTTACCCCTTTTTAGGTAAATACTGAGATACCCTTCTTTGAAACAAGTCTGGAGCACCGGGGTTTGGGAATTATCAAGAAGTGGGGAGGGACCACAGTGGGGTCCAGCCCTGCCATTCCCTTCTGTCTGTGTTTGGGCATTGGAGTGGCTGGTGTTGGGGGGCCGGAGGGAGGGTACATGCCAGCCCTCACTCGGGGCCATGTGGGTGGGATTAACTCTGGTTTGCTCTACCTGGAGGCTCAACGCCTTCATCCTGTTCCTGTGCGAAGCCCCCTTCTGCTGCCAGTTTATCGAGTTTGCGAACGCCGTCTCTGAGAAGGCGGACAAGCTGCGGCCCTGGCAGAAAGCTGCTTTCTACTGCGGGTGAGGATGCTCCCGGGGTGTGCTGTGGTGGTGAAGCCACCCCGGGAACCGCATCGGGATGCTCGTGGGCACGCCGCGATGTCCGAGCATCCCTGCATCCCGTGCGGAGCGGAGCCTGGCTTTGAGGGCTGCCTCTCTCTTCCAGGATGGCTGTGTTCCCGGTCGTGCTCAGCCTGACGTTGACCACGCTCTTTGGAAATGCCATTGCGTTTGCCACCGGCGTGCTTTATGGCATGTCAGCGCTGGGGAAAAAGTAAGAGAAATCAGTCTGCTTGTGGAGGGGAGGGAAGGGGGAAGGGGGACCCTCCAGCCCTCACCCCCATCTGCCTCCCTAAGGCTACACTTTCCTGCTGTACTAACCGTGCTTTCAGGTGTAAATGCCGCCAGAGAACATCTCCCTGCCATCATCTCAAAGCCCTGGGAGGGAAGGTCCTAGGGTTTGCTGAAACTCTGAGCTTTTCCTTGGGAGCTCCATCTAGGTTGCCCTGTGGGTCCCAGCCCTCTTTCTGCAGCTGTTGGAGGGTTGGGCCGGCTCTGCGGGTGGTGAACAGCTTTGGTGAGGTTGGAGAGGGCCAGCAAGGTTCATTTCATTCCTGGCATCCCTCAGCACGGAGAGGCCCGGGCCCCCCCAGGTTGGGAGACCTCTCTGCCAGGGACTGTACCCACCAGGATGGGCACCTGGAGCTCACATCCCTTTTCTCTGCAGGGGAGATGCCATCTCCTACGCTCGGATCCACCAGCAGCAGAAGCAAATGGATGAAGAGAAGCTCACGGGGACCGTGGAGGGAGAGGCTCCCTGAAGCACACGAGCTTGTGGTAACCTCTCCTGGACACTGAGATGGTGAAGATACAGAAATCCACAATGCCCTTCCCTCTGCCCTCTCCCCTCTCCATTACACCACGATTTCCCTGGACACTACAGCAACTGTAAATCTCAGGGTCTGGGCCAGGCTGTGCCCTCTTCTCACACCAGCAGCCAGACCTCAGCACGTTGGACCCTCTCTCCTCTTCAACCCTCACCCAAATATCTCACAGTCCCTCTACTTTTTTTTTCTTTTTTTTTTTTTTTTTTTCTTTTTTTCGCTGCAGAGGTGCTGGCTCTTTGAGTGCTGCTTTACAAGCCTGAATAGGTAGCCTTTCTTTGGAGTGACACCTGATAACGAGTCGAGGATGCAGTGCTCATTTGGGAACTGCTCTCTGGATGGGGTGAGGAGGGACAGAGCTGACCTGCCAGCTCCTTGCCTGCGCTGGTCTCATCGGAGTCAGGGAGCTGCTGGCCTCGTGCCTGGGGGTAACCTGTCATTGCACGTTACACGTTTTCAGTAACACTCTCTGGTGTGGCCCTTCCCAGGTATAATATACTAATCCAGGGTTTAGCACTACATGGTGATGCTTAAGCTTGGTCTTCTTCCATTGAGTATATTTTAATATGGGTCCAGTTAGGCCAGGCATCGGAGGCATCACTGCATGGGAAAGGACTTCCAGCAAAAATCCCATCTAAAGACAGTGACCACCCCTGCAGAGGAGCTGCCAGAGGTGCTGGGGCAGATCCTGGTACCTACAAAGCACGGTCCCTGCTTCCTCTGGATACAGCTGCAGGCAGTTACTGCAATTTACTAGAATTATAAGAATTAACTACTTTGTCTTAATAAGGGTACTTTTCTTAAGCTTTGCTCTTACTGGGGAAGAAGGGAAATAAGGTTTGCTTTACCTCAGCTGAAAAAGGGTACTATTGCTTGAGCCAAGTGGGATTTTTTTGCTGGTGTAAGTGTTACTGACGTGCAAGAGCATCCTTCTCTCATGAGCCTGGGACTCTGCTCTCTTATCTCTCACTCCCTGCATCTGCTCCTGCTCCCGTGACCCATCCCTCCATGCAAGGGACCTGCTCTTTGTTTCTGTCTGGTGCAGCCTTTCTCTTTGGGCTGATGTTCTTTTTGCATCAGTCCTGGGCTGGTGGTGTATGGGAAGGTGGCATATCCTTCCTTTGCAAACATAGAGAAGTCTGCACCATTTCAGTGTGGATAGCTGGGATGTCTTGCTTCTTTATTCCAGGCTCAATTAGTAGTTTTCGTATCATATTTTCTTTTTGCTTTGTGTCATGCAGAACAAAACTGCTCGCTAAGTCCAGATCCCCCTCTTCTCATCATGGTTTCTTCTGAGGGGTTTTAATTTATTTGTCTTTACATGATTGCTTTTTATTTTGATTAGTAAAAAGGAGAATAATTTATTACTGGTTATTTAAGTATTTTGATGGGACTCATTTTCTCTGGACATAAGAGAAAGGAGTGCTCTGTTTCCTGTCCTTCAAAGAACTGCCTCATTTCACTGCGGGGCGGCCTCTCTGAACCCAGGGAGAGCCCTGACTGCTGTAACTGGGATGCTAGAATTAGGATACCATAAAATCCTATTTCAGCCTTCAGAGTGTTTCTCATACTTTTGGAAAGTGGGTTGTCCTTGACCTCTTTGTCTTCTTCTGGGCCACTGACCTGACAAAGTTTGATGTCCCTCTCTTCTAGGAGAGAGAAGGGAGGAAAACTGGGCTGTAACTGCTGGGCTGGAGGTTTGTACCCATTCAGCAGCCCTGGGAGCTGAGCTCCCGCTGCCGCCGACACTTTGTGGTCCCATTTGAATCACTGGGGTACCAGGGGGGTCACGCTGCGGTCTGAGAAACGCCGCTGGAGGCCGGGTGCTGTCTGTCAGAAGGGTCTGCCTGTCCAGCTCTCTGCGGCTTCCGAGCCGTGCCGTGTTGGAAACTATCTGTATGACCTGTCCTTCCTCTGGGTACGGCGTGTATTCGCGTTGGCCGAGCGACGCCAGCACATCCCTGGCAGAGCCTGGGATGGAGCCGCTGCCGGAGGGGGGAGGCTGCAGCGTGCGCCTTGCAGGGGGAGCAGAGCAGTCCCCGGGGACGGGGGGGGGCTAAGCTGCCAGCTCCTGCTAGCTGTTGTTTCTTCCCTTGAGTTTGGGGAGGTGTGAGGATTTGCACCAGGCAGAAGCGCGGCTTGGGTTTATTTACACACCCAGACCCTTGCAGCTGGATGCTGGGCAGCCACTTTGTGCTAAGCCCTTTCCCCTCAGGCCTCTGAGCCGTGACACCGGCTTGTCTGGGACGCAGAATAGGCGCTGTCAGCCCAGAGGCAGCTTGTTTCAATAAAGGCTGTGGCGTTTTGAAGCCCCCAGCTCCGGGTGAGTCCCTGTTATTGCATGCAATACCTGGGGCATTGGCCTTCCTTGTGCACGTGTGAGGGGACCACGGCCTCCTGCGTGGGTGATTCTGCCGGCGGTAATGGGGTGCTGCAGGAGGAAGATAGGGAAGCCCACGGGACACCTCAGGATGAGAGCCTCTCTGCTCTTCGAGTGGTGTCCCTGTGCTGTACCTTTACCGGGTGGTTCAAGTGCAGAGTCCTGCCTAGCAAATAGGACATCTGCTTTGATTTCAGGGGGGCTTGGGGAGTTAAGTAGTGTTTAGTAGAGGAATGTTGCAGACTGATGCACGTAGCTACGAGCATGTCTTTGGTAGTGATTGCTTTGCTCTGTGAGTAGTTCCACAGTAGCTTTAGTGACGGGAGGTGAAAGGCAAAGCAGAGGCGATAGAAATGCTTGCAGGTTCATCTACGCCCGCGGTGATGTTCCATGGAACTGGTGGGACCCTCACTGGCTTCATCTGGTTATCCTAATGCCATGGACCAGCAGCAGACCCTGAGATGCCAGCAGTGCTGTCGTGCTGTATTTTGTGGCAGTTGGGTCTGACGCTGGGGCCAAAGCAAAGCAAACAATCCGCACCTGCTCTGCCACCCTTAGCGGGTTCAAAGCTCAGCTCCGAGCTCAACGCTTTTATTGAAAATGAGCCTCAGGGACTCTTCTGTAAGAGCTGAGCTGGAGACTTTGTCCCCACTGCTTAAAGACACCAGGTCTGATCAGTGTCTCTGTGCCTGCCGCAACAGGAGCTGTCTCAGATCCGTGCTCCAAAGGTGCTGACTCCTACAGATGCATGGCCAGAGTGGGAGCTCTTGGGAATTTCAGCTGCCCGTGATGCAGCTGAAACCAAGGCAGATGCTGCCATCATTGCAGACAGGGCCTGGTGACAGCACCCCTGGCTTTTAAGAGTAGTAGTGACGGTTGGTGGGTGGTGTCACCTCCATGTGGACAAGAGACTGCTTTTGTGGAGATAGAAAGGACCTTTAGAGTAGTAGCATCAGAGTAGTTAATGTGCCCATTCACAGTGCATGGTGGTTATTAATTGTGTTTAGAGGCATCATCAAGGTGCTTGGGGCTGTGTAAGGAAAAATGGAGTTAAAAGCCCTGCTCTAGAAATTTTACAGGCTCAACTCCATCCCAACTGATGGCATCCAGGCTGGATGGCTAATCCTCGGGGTCTCTATGGAAGAGGTTCTGCTTGCCAGGTCTTGGAAAAGCCTCTTGGGAGACAACGGGACGGAAGTTTTGTTATGCAGGAACTCAAAAGCGGGTGATGCATTGACTACAGTGAGTTGTTGACACCGAGAGTGGAAAGACACCTGGGTACTGGCAGCACACGTGCACTTAGCAATGGGCTGTTACACCATTCACCATCTGAGCTGTGCGCTTCCTACCCACATGCATTTATACAGCGTGGGACTCTTCTGTGTCCCAGTCAATCGTGAAGCTGACAGCACTTGTGCATTTTAGCTGCTCTGGCCCCTGGGGCTGTCCATTGGGCAGAAGCTCACTTTCTGCTGCGTACCCAGATCTTGCTGCTCTGGGCAGGAGCTGATTTTGTAACACCACCTGATTCTGTCTGTGCAGTGAATAAAAATACTGTTCTACCTCTGGAAAGAGACACTGTGATTTCTCAGACACTAAATGTTATAGCAAAAACCCTCAGGCTTCCTATATTGAAGAAAGGAGGTCACTCAGAAAATACTTCTCTGATGAGGTTCTCGCAGGACCTGAAGAGTCCAGCCTCCTTTCATATTCGGGCATTTCCTCCTTACGCCAAGGCCTGGGAAGCTCAATTCATCTTTGTCATTTTTTTCCTCAGGAAAAAACATCCACTGTCTTCAGGGAAGGGTTTCACTGAAGTGAAGATATCAAGACCTGGTCCATAGCCATGTGAGAGAGAGAATGCTCTAGCCTAGAGCTGCCAGAGATCCTGATCTTCAGAAGGTCAGTGGAAACCAAGGGCTCTTGAGACCTCTCATAATCAGGCCATGCTTAGAAATAGTCATATTCCAGCCAGGGCTGAACATCTTTCTGGAAATGGGTCTCAGCTGCAAAGGTTAGGTCTAATACTGAATTTTCTCTGTGGCTTTGATTTTGGCCCATCTCTCTTACTCTGTCCCAGGCTGCTTTAAATTCATCCTCTGGTAAAGCACCTCTTCTCTTAGGTGATTTCTCTCATCTCCTGCTGCAGGGGATCTAAATAGTAGCTAGCATATCTTGAGGTCTGGGTCAAATATGCCATGTTACCACACACTCCCTTGTCACTGCAGGCTGAATGTTCCAGGAATGGGAGAACACAAGCATCTCCACCAGCCCTCTGGGTGCCAAGTGCATTTCAGGAGGTTGGACAAACGCTTGGGCAACTCATCTACCTGTGTTGTTCTGTCCCTTTCAAAGGAGTTAGGTTGGATGTGATTCTCAGCAAGGCCATTTGTTCCTTGCAGCCGTAACCCCCCTCCTACAGCTGTGTTTTACCTAGGGTTAGGCTCTAAAAAATTTAAAAAGTCCTTAATCTTGCAGGACACACAGGAAAGGGATAAGAGCAATTTGCTACTAACTATGCAGTTGAAATCTCAAAGTGAGGGAAGTGGAGGCTCCACGCAAAACCACGATGGGGGCACACCCACCTTCCTCTTTGTGGATGCATAAAAACCTGTGGTGGGAAGGACCCACCCCAGTACAAAGTACTGTCAGTACCCACTGTGTCTTTCCTCCAGTGAATCACTTGCACTACAGCTGAATATGTGTCTGTTCCTGTTCTTAGTTTTGTCCTGGATTTTTTTTTGTGAACTGTATTTGGTCTTGCTCATTAGGCTTCTAGTGTAATGTGTGGTTTTAGAGCAATAAAATGTGGCAGCTTTTTATACAAAATATTTGGCTCTGCCTCTTTCACAGTCCTTAAGCACATGAGACTCATCTGGGAAGCTGCAGGCTGCTGTGGTCCCCTTGTCACAGGCCTCCTCTGCCTCTCCCATCCCACCCCCCTGCAGTGCCCTTCTCTGCAAATCAAGGCAACATCTTGCAGTTGGAGGCAAAACTGTTTTATTCTTACAACTACACAATGAACTTGTGCCAAAACAGCTACAGCTGTTAATTCTGTTCCAGCCAAGCCCTCAGGCTTTCAGGCCTCTTTGGTGGCTGCTGAGTGAAGGACATGCATGGTCTCCTGTCCACAGCCACACCTTTTATTTTCCAGGACATCTTTCCAGCCTGGTGCTGGTTACCTGGTCCCATACCTTGGGTTAATATGTTGCCCACAGAGCAATAGATAGTGTTGAATGACGGGAAAAGAAGGTAAAGTTCCAGCTGGAAACTTCTGAAGCGAGAGGGTCATCGCCACCCGTTCCTCTCCCGTTGCCTTCGCAGAGAGCTCCAGCAGCACAACAGTTTTCTTTGTTGCCCTCGAACACGTAGACTGGTAGCCTGGCATGGCTGGCAGATGGCAGCTCCTACCTCATGAAAGACCTCCGGCCAGTCCTGAAGAAGGCCTCAATCTGTTCCAGGGACCTGCCTTTGGTTTCTGGCACACAGCAGCCTGTGAATAAGATGTTCCCAGCGCAGATGACAGCGAAGAATAGGAAGGGCACCTCGAGGCCAAAGGCTTCCTGGAAAGTGAGACAGAAAACAGATGTGAGCTGGTGCAGAGATGGTCTGAGGAGGGGCTGCTGGACACCCTCCTGGGGCAGTACCCACCACGACCCGGAGGAAGAATTGGGTGAGGGTGAAGGCTGTCAGCCAGCTCACGACGACGCAGAGGCCCGAGGCTACCCCACGAGCTTTCAGAGGGAGGACCTCCGACATCAGCAGCCAGGTGATGGGGCCCCAGCCCATGGCATAACCTGCAGGGGACGAGGAGTAAGGTGAGGATGCTGAGGCTGAGAAGGTCACTGAGGAATGCAACAGAGCCCTGTGCAATCCCACCCTCCTCCCCCATCAGTTATTATTCCCCCCCATTCATGCTGTCAGTCCTCAAAATGACTTCAGCTGCCATCTTTCTTGGGGACATCTGCCTTCCTTCTAACTCCAAGTCCCATCTCCTTGTTCCATATCATCCTCTCTCGGATGAGAAACGTCCCCCCAGGCTGGTGCCCAGCCCTGTGCTGGCGGTCCTGGGCGCTCTCTCAGTCTCTGCACCTACCCATTATGAAGAACATGGTTGCCAGGAGGGGGATGAGCGTGATGTAGTTTGTTGGCTCAGCAGAAAGGTTGGCAGAGCTCACCAGGGTCTTGTTGGCAACGGTGCCATTCTGAGAAGCTGGCACGAAGTGGATGTAGAGCCCCATGGTCAGGTTGGAGACCAACATGACACCAGCTGTGGAGAGATGCAAGAGCACAGTGGGACCAAGGGGTGAGTGATCCCCTCTGTGCCAAGGACTGAGCTCCTGGGAATGCCTCTGCGCAGGCGCTGAGCCACCACCAAAGCAAAGAGACCTCCCCCACTCCCTGCCCGAGTCCTGGATGGCTGAAGTTTCCACTCCTGCACGTTTTCAGAGCTCCTGGAAATCCTTAAATAAGAGCTTCCCTTCCAGAACAGTGCGAGGGAGGGAGACATACCTGATACAAAAAGAAGAATCTTCCTCCCAGCTTTATCCATTGACACAGCAGCAATCGCCACCGAGAACAGACGGACCAAGCCAACAAGAGCTGCATCATACTCTGGTTTCTGCAATGGCAAAAGCAATGGGGAAGCTGAGGTGGGAGAGGCAGGGAAAGGGCATGTTTCTACATGTGTTGCCTTGACTCTGGCAGATGACTTTGTCAAAGCTATCCTCTTACAGTAAGAGACCAGAGAAAAAAAGCAGGGAAACAGTGAGCCCAGTCCTGCTCCCCCTCCTCATGCAGCTTTTTGCAGGGCAGGTGCTTGGAAATTACTGCCAGCCAGGTGCTCTAAAATAGACTTCAAAGTTGGGGTCTTAGAGCTGGAGGGGACTTGGGGCATTGATCAACCATCACTGAAGATGAGGCAGTCCAAGCACGGGCCGAACCCAGGGCTCACCAGGATGACGGATGTTTTCTTGAATATTGACTGCAGGTACACGAGGACGCAGGTGACACCCGAAAGCTGCTGCAGGAACCTCATTCCCACCGCGATCAGGATGGGCTTGTAAATGAAGGGGTCCTTGATCTCAGCACAAGAAACCCGCTGGCTCTGGAGGGGACAAAGCCAGAAAGCCGAGGTGTTACCACCTCTGGACACCACCGCGGCACCTGGAAGGTGGCTCAGGAGTTGCCCAAAGGCGGTTGGATTTTTGCAGTTTTCACATTACAGCTCCGCTGTGCTGGAGGTGAGCTTCCTCACCTGCTTCCTCACGCTGTCCTTGATCTGCTCGTACTCCCGGGCATAGTCCGTGTCCTTGCCCCGCAGCCAGCGCAGCGAGCCCAGGGCCTCGTCATCCTTCCCCTGGGAGAGCAGGAACCGGGGCGAATTGGGCATGAAGCAGAGCAGGATGATCATCACGAGCACGGGCACCTCCCCTGCGACGGCCAGCCAGCGCCAGTCCAGGACCAGCCCTGCCAGAGCAGCACAGTTAGGAGTGGAAAACACACAGGGAAGGGTGTCCTAGCCTTGCCTCCATGTGGGCACCCCAATAATTTAGTGTAATAAATCCAGCAAGGGGGAGAAAATAATAATTAAAAAAAAAAAAAAAAAAAGAGACAGATTTTGCACATGTTTCTCTCCTAGTAAGAAGCATTTTCAGATGTATGTTATGGGGAAATTCCGGCAAGCTCCCCCAGATCTTAAAATATCCAGCAAGATCCTGCAGCAGCCAGGGCACACGCTGGCAAGAGGTGCACACACAGGTCACCGCATGCAGGACCCGGGTCTGCAGGCACAGTAACGTCCGTGGGGGTTATGGATTCACCCCTCTGAGCACACACACAAGTGTGGGTTATGCACAGGCGATCCTATCCGGACCCTCTTTGCACACCCGTGGTGGTGGTTGTGAGCTGGCTGCAAGGGGAAGGTATCCATCAACTTGCTGAGAAAGTTGTTTAAAATAAACTCCCCTTCCCTAAGGTCTTGCTGAGGGTTTCCTGCCCTCCGAACACCGAGATACTTGCCGAGTGCGTACAGGACGAGGGAGCCCAGCACTGCCATGATCTGAGGACAAGCGCCCAGCATACCTCTGACCCCGGGGTGGGAGATCTCCGAGATGTAGACCTGGAGCAGGACAACACGCGCTAAAGGGAGCTGCAATATTCAGCCACCACCACCAAAACCTGTCCTCTGTCACCTCGCAGGCACCCGCTGTGGCCAGGGGAAAACCAAACTGCTGGCAAAGTGCCTGTTCAGGGTAGAAATGTGATGAGTCCAGCGATATGAGCTGGTCCTGGAAGGCCCAGACAACAGCCTTGCAGGCACCGCCACTTCCCTCCCTCAGCCCAGTGTGGGAAAAGCGCTCCAGCGGCACGCTTAGACTCCTGTTACTGGAAGGATGTGCTCCAGGGTTACTCAATCTTGCCTTTCCCTCTGCATGCAACACCCAATGTTCAGTAAACACGGGAGGAAGTAACTGCCAGGGCAAGGGCTGAGAACCTGCCTTCCCTTTTCTGCCGGCAAGAAAGTCCAGTACCACAGGGGCAGCTCAGGCTGGCCGAGCCAGTGCCACTAACCCAGTGCGTCCTCCCCATCCCCAGTCGCCCCGGAGCTCTGCTGACCCCTCCAAAAAGCAGCGGGGCGTCCCCAGGCTCAGCTACGGCACCGCCTTGTCGTCTCCCCGTTGTGCAAATCCCCAGCAAACTCCTTCCCCCCGGCACGTTACCGGGATGGAGGCGGACGTCACGCCGCCGGCGTAGCCCGTCAGCACGCGGCCCAGCAGCAGCATCTCCATCCCCTGGGCACCGGCCATCAGCGCGTATCCCACGGCGGAGGGCAGCGCCGAGAACATGATGCTCAGTTTGCGGCCCAGGAGGTCGTTGAGGAGCATGGTGCTGAGCCCCCCCGCCGCCGCTCCCAGCGTGAACACTGACTGCCAGGAGACACGGGAAGGGGGGGGGGGGGGGGGAGCCTCGGTGGGTTTGGGGTCCCCCCGAATACCCACTGGCTCTGCCCCTCCACCCCTGGCGGGGACAAAGCCAGTCCTTACCCCGAACCAGGATGCTGTGTGCTGGTCCAGCCTCAGCGCAGGACTGGGGTGAGCCTCCAGGGCGGGGATGACGGGCGAGGAGTAAACCAGGGCAAACCCAAAACTGAAGTTCCCCAGGACAGCAGCGAACACGGCCAGGTAGAGCCGCTCGTTGTGGAGGCTCCTGAGGGAGGGACGGAACAAGAAGGATGTGCTGGGTGCCCTTATAGCACCCGGTAGAAAATTTAACTCTGTCTCACAGCTTCCCCCAGCCTTTGCTGAGTCTCTTGTGACACCCACGGAAGGATTTTCCCAGGGAATGGCCATACACCGGCCCAGGCTGGTGGGGTTTCTCTGAGCGGAGCAGCAGCCGCTCCTGCTGTGTGCTGGGGGGTGAGCGCCCGTCCCCCCGGGGTGCTGCTGATACTTTCCTCTGTGCTGGGCGGTTTTCAGTAGATTCAACAAACCAAGAAAAGCAGAAGCTGCAGCTGGGCGGCAGGCTGGACCCAGCTGGCAGCCAGCTCGTCCCAGCGGAGCAGGGAAGGGGTTCCTTTCAAGACCCCTACACCCCACAGCAGGGATTTATGCCCCCAGAAGAGTCGGATGCCCAAAAGCATGCATACCCACAGCTCTCCCAGGTGGGCTCACCCCGCACCGCACACCCTGGGCAGGATGAGACCCCACGTCAAGGCAACTCAGGTGCGACAGCAGCTTAAACAGCTCTTCCACCGCCTCCCCTCAGCCCAGCGCTGTCAGGATGGGGGGCACAGCCCACCCCCCCCACCCCCCCCCCCCACAGCCAGCCCCGTGGGGCCAGCCCAGCCCTTACTGCAGGTATTCCTTGTCGAGCCTCTTGCCAGCGCTCCCGGGGAAGGTCTGATACGACGAGCTTGTCTTCCTCACGAGGGGCTCCCGTGCGCTCGGCTCCATGGCCGTGCCGTGCCCGGTGCCCGTCACGGTGCGGGTGCTGCGGCGCTCGGGGCTGTCTCAGGGACGGGGAAGGAAGAAGCAGTTGAAAGCGAAAGGGGAGAGGCTGCCCTGCGTTGCCTAATCAGAGAAATCTGGGCCTCGTGGGCTTGCCCTGGCCAGCCTCTGGGGAGGAAACTGGCGTGGCCGGAAAACCAGCAGGCAGAGAGCTGTGGGGAAATGATGGTGCCCTGGAACCTTCGCCCCCACCTGCCCAGCCCTGTCCCTCCCAGATGCCATCAACACCAAAACCCTTCACTGCAGCAGCACTTACAGGGACAATCCTTGCAGAACTATTTCCACCAGCAGAAACGTCCTTTTACTAAGGCCATGTCCCTCCCATTAAGGAACTAGAACCAGTTAGACTAGCCAAACACTGCTTCTTTGTACAAGGGTAAATAGCATCCATGCAAGCCTCCACAGCCACCCCTGGGAAGAGTTTTCAATGTAAACCAGAGATGAGGAAGAGAAAGGAGAGGAAATGAGGAGATGAACATGGAGAGGGGTCACAGGGAGCAGGTGAGGGGGATGAAGAGTGCTGATGAAGATAGAAAAGGGGAGGGCAGCATCTCTGCTGCATTGGGTGCAGCTGCTGGGGGCCCTGGGTGGCCCACGGGTGCCTTTGCCTCCTTGCTCTGATCCCCAAAACCTCACAGGGTTCAGTGGGCTGCGTTGTGCTGGGGCAGCTGCAGGTCCTGGGGGGCTGCAAGGTCCAAACTCACCCTGTAGCAAAGGTGGGGACACACCTACAGGCTTTGCACTTGGATTTAATTAGCAAAAGATGTCTTTCCCTAAATTACTGTAGTGCTCTTCTTGTTTCCACCATCCACCTTAGTCCCTGGTGCTTTTGGGACCACCTGGGTGGTTTCTGCACCCCCAAGCCTGCGTGGGAGCCCCAGTGACGCTTTGATGTCAGCCAGGACCAGCTACACTCTTCCCTCTGTGCAACGTGGTTCCCCTTCCGCAACCACCAAGCGCCACATTTAGTGTCTGATCGATGCTGGGGATTTACAGCTGACTCAGGCACTCGGGGCTGTGATTTCTCTGCAGGAAGAAAGGTCATGGAGCAAGGGGACATCAGAGTGGCCGACCAGCTCATCCAAAAACTTTCCAGTGCTGTGTTGGTTTGAGCAGGGATGTCACAACAGTCTCCAGCTGGTTCCTGTGTCCTGGGCTCCCCTTCCATCAGCAAATGCCATCAGTCACCTCCTTTGCATGCACTTTGCTCCATGCATCAGGGCTGGCAGTGCCCGTTTGCTCCCATGGTGGCAATGCTCTGTGCGAGGTCACGGTCCTGCATGGGGCAGCAGGGCTGGGATGCATTCCTGCTGGTTGCATCTTGAAGACCAAGGAAAACCTGCAAATGAGTGGCCTTAGGGAATTTGAAGAAGAAGGCTGCTGCAAATTCCCTAAGGTCACTGATTGAGAAAGTTATTCTTTATCCCCTCTGCCCCTCCCAGGCCTCAGCTTTTTCCCCAAGCCAGGCATACTGAGTCTCTGCCACGCAGTATTTGCCATCCTCTACCTCAAAGCAGCTGCCTTTTAGCCTTACGATGAGTTAAAAAAAAGGCCCCTAAAAGCAAAATGCTGTAGCAAAAGGTTTGTGCAGGGGGGTGGAGGGCTGCTGGGGTTGGTCTGGGTGAAAAAGGCCACAGGTGCTAAGCATGATGGTGCTCACTGGGAAATGTGGCTGCAAGGTCTCTGAGGGCTGAGGCTGCTGCAAGGTAAAGGCTTTTCTCTTTTTCCTCCCTGATCCTTGTTTTTCCTATAAATGTCTCGAAGAAGGAGGAAGCTCTGGGCTTGCTGGTTAGTTATCTCTGGCTCTTTTCATTGTGGAGCTGCTTGGCTGAGGCTTTTTTGGGGCTGTTGGGGTGCTGAGCGTGCTGCCCTGTGCAGGGTCACGCCAGCTCTGTGCTTGTGCTTATTGGAGAGGTTTGTGTGCTGTGTTGCGGGTCCCTGCTGGGACTGGTATTCCTTGGAGCAAAGGTGTGAAACCTGCATTGCTGCTCTGGGGTGGGCTTGGGGCTGAGTGGAAGAAAGGCTTCTCTGAGTGCTGATGTGTCTTGCTCTGTTGTCTGTGTATCTTTTGGAGGTTCAAGCCTCTCAAAGACAAGAGCTGGGAACTTTCCTTTTGCAGAGGTAAAAACTGGAGTAGGGAGAGATGATGTGTCCTGTTGGGGTGTGAGGAATTAATGGGTGGTAGAGCTGGGCACTGACCCTGCTGGTGGCTTGGGTGGGCAAATTGAAATGTCCATCTATGTGCGACGGCATCTCTTGTTAATTCATCCCCCTCCCTGCAGTTGTTTTTGGCGATAGACGTGGTCTGTAATGAGGGATTTCAGAAAGCAGGACCTGCATCTCCCCTCTCCCAGGAGCAGGGGTGCTGAGCGCCAGACCCTGGAGGTCCTTGGGTTGTGCTTGGGTTGTGCTTGGGTGTGCAGGCTGGGTGTTGGGTGGCTGGGGACAGCCTGCTGCAGGCCTGGGACCAGACAAAACAAGCCTGGGACCTGGCACCTGCTCTGCTGCTGCAGTGGGGTGAGCCCGGCCGTGCTGGTGTGACCCCCAAATGTGGGTGCACAGGGCTGGAGCCCCGAGTGCCACCACCTGCCTCAAAGGGGCTACTGCTTGTGTCTGATCTAATCTTCCTGCTTCTGGTTACAAAGCAACTAATAACCAAAGTCAAATCCGTAAATGTTCATTAGCTGGTTTTGCTGTATTTATGTGAATATTTAATTACGGAGGTTTTTCCCTAAATAGCCCTGTTTTGTGGGAGGGTTTTCAGAGGGAGCAGGGTGATGCAGTGAAGGCTGGGGGTGGTGTCAGGATGGGGCTGGGACCCTGCTCCGTGTTGGGGCACGTCCTCGGCACGTGGTCACTGCGTGCACTTGTCACAGACCTCATGGAATGGCTCAGTACGTGTCCTAAACCTGGAGCTACTTAGACATGGGACAGAGAGGAATGCTCAACCCAACCTCCCCCCCAGCCTTATATCTGAGGGGGGGGGGAAAGTGTGTTGGAGAGGAGCCCTGAGCCTGAGCAGTCGGATCTCCCTGAAATGCGAAGGTTATATCCAGTTTCTGTGCAGATTTGTCAACTGCTTCAAACAGGAAATTACTTCGTGTCTTGAAAAACCTCCAAGCACCTGTAACGCCGGGAAGCGCGGGGGAGCCGGCGCCTGCGCTGGGCTCGGGGAGCCGGGGCTGAGCCCCCGGCCAGGTCTGTCCCTCGGCGTGCAGGGGGATGGTGGCTCCTGGAGGGAAGGGGGGGGTCCCCCAGGAGTGGTGTAATGGATCCCCACCACTTGCTTTCAGCGAGCACCACATCCTCACTTGGTTTCCTTCTAAAAGTGCAGTTTTGTTAAGGAGTAAAGCACCCCTCACCCCCATCCTTGCTCTACATCTCCCCAGGGACTCTCCTGACTTGCTGTAAGTCCTACCAAAACACACAAGGGGTGGGTAAGGAGAAAGAAGACTTGGTGTCAGTGATACCTCTGGTGGGCTGTGCTTGGCCATCAGCACAGGGAAGGGGCTCCTGCCCCGCTCCCCATATCTGCAGCAAGTAACAGGGCTCCAGGTCCTCGAGGATGAACTGGGGAGGATCCAGACACCCAGTTTGGGAAAGCAGCAAACCAACCCTGGCCGATTAAAGGGCAATCTGGTTTTGCTGAGAGCTGTTGGCTGCCTCGGCCGGAGTGATACATTGCTCCGACTCAATAGGACCTTCCTCCCCCTCTGACAGCTGTGCAATAGATCACGAACATATGCAAAAAAATAAACTGCATCAAAGCCACTTGGCAACTTAACTAACCCAATTCATAAATTAATTTCTGTTCCTCTTGTAAGGGAGAAATCAGTCACTCCTCAAGGCTATTTGTCTTTATCGCTCATCTGGCCACATCCTTTCATAAATCTTCCCTGTAAGTCTGAACTGGTGACTGCTGGGTCAAAATGCAATAATGCTCAATGCCTGCACTGGGCTTGGGGCAGCCCCGGGGCTGGTTTGCCGTGGCCTGGAGCAGGATTGCTTCTCTCTTCATCGCTCATCTCCCGTAAGGCTGTAGCAGAGCTGGTGTTTTGGAGCACGGTGCTGCTCTGGGTGCATGTGGGTGATTTTGGGGAGCGCCTGGTCCCCGCTGAGGCAGTGCAGAGGTGTGATAGTGAACCATCTCCTTGCAAGACACGGGTGAACGGGGTGTGCTGGGTTTCCAGAGCTGCTCAGGGGGTGGCTGGTGACTGCAGGGTGCTGGGGGCACGTGGAGGGAGGGTGGGTGCTTGGTGGGGGATGGCACCTGGCTGGGTGCACCCCGGTGTTGTGGAGCTGGGGGAGTCTGAGCCCAGGAGGCAGCTATAGCTGCTCCCCCGCAGCTTTCCAAGACCCCATGGCTTTGCAAAATGATGCCTTGCACCCCCGGCTCCAGATGGGCATCGATGCCTGGAGCCTGGGTTAGCTTTTCCAGCTAGGCAGACAGAAGTCAGCTCTTCCCTGCTGTATTCTTCGCCCTGCACCACCCCACCCCCCCACCCCCCACCCCCCCCCCAGAAAAAAATCACCACCTTTTCAGGCTGCCATCTGTTTATTTTGTTGGACTCGGAACTTGCTGAAATGTCTTTCGATGGATGAAGGAACGCAGAGTAGAAGAACAGAGCCTGGCAGGCTGCATGGTGAGTGGAAAATAGTTTTTTGGGACTTTCTGGAGTTTGAAGGCCCGATGATGGATGTGCATGCGAGGGATGGTAATGGCTTTGTAAGTATCAAAACACAGAGCAAAAGAATAACTCTGCCTAATAGACTGAGAAATGTATGTCGGACGGGATCCGCTCTGCTCCGACACGGGCGAGAGCGGCGGCGCTGAATGATGAAGTGCTGCGGGGCTTGGGAGCGGAGGCTTGTATTGGTTTAATGTATTGGAAAAAAAGGTACAGCTAGTATTCAAAAAATATTGGATGCTTGCTATGAATGTGTTGGAAAAGGCTGAATCTTGCCTCAAAATGAGTCTCGAGGAGATCCGTCGTGCTTGCAGTGATCTGTTTGAGGGGCTCTGACCCGCTGGGCAGGGCTGCCTGTCCCTGTGCCTTCTGGCTCCCCTCTCGCTGCCTTCCCCCCCTGCTTGTGGTGTCCAGACCTACTGACAAAAGTGATGGGTTTATGTGGAAATTTTGTGGGGATAAATATTTGCCTGTCAGCAACGGTAGGTCAGAGCATGATTTCTCATGTGCCATTTGGAAATGACATTTCCAAGCAAAATTAGAATTTCCCACTGAGGTTTGGTTTTTTTTTTTTTTTTTATGTTGTTGTTGTTTTTAAGTTGGAAAAGGGTTGGATTTG